ATTGCGTTGGCGTTACTTTCAGACCCGACTGTACGACACGGTGTGTACCGCCGCTGACATCGGCCGAAGGGACGCCCATAAACTCATAGGTCTGTCCGTCGACCCGAACCATACCTCCCATACCGTTGATTCCTCCCGTCCAGAAATGGGTCCACTCGCCGGCCAATTGTCGGCCAGTCATCCAAGTGGACAGGTATGGACTCTTCACCACCAGTGGTACGGCTGGCAATACATCTATTGTGTCATTTGGCATAAAAGTATTTTTATTTTTAAAGGTTTAATTTAAAATTAATTTCTATTTTACCATTGTCAGCCGCTTGAACCTTAACTAAACATATAGCAAACACACTTAAATAGAATTTAACATTCATTTTAATGTAATTTCTATATTAGTTAACAAAATAATAAATTAATTAAAATTAGTCCAAGAAAATAAAACCAGTTTCTTTTTATACATAATGTTTGCACACATCATGGTCGTATATTGTTTTAGGATGTGAAGTAGCCAGATGCGTTCACTTGAGATTGGAAAAATTTTATATTTTCCAATTAAATCAGTCATTATGTTATCAAATTATTTATAGAATTGATTAGTTATACGACTGCGCTAGTACAGTTTTGCTGGTAATTTTTTATTAGCAACAACATATTTTACAATAATTGATATAAACTTTATATTATAAAGTTATACTTTAGATATAGCAAGTTATTCAGCTATTCAAACAAACTGTATATTTAATTAAATCATTAGCGATATACTGATAAAACGCGGTCTGGATTTTAGTGTACTTGAAGTTACAATACAGTAGAAAACAATGGAAATTATAATAACTTTAATTTTTGATTTAGAGTAAAATGCCATATGTTTATTGTATTTGAATGTCGATAACATTGTTTAAGTATTGATTGAACAATAATCTCAAAAAACTTTATAATAAAATCAAACAAGTATTACAATATCTTAAAACAGCCACAATTTTCACATAACTTTTACTATCATGAAAAATTGTATTAAATATTAGCTTGATTAGTACTAATGGAAAGCCGCATGCTTTCTTAAAGACAGTTTATTGCATACAATATATTAATAACTTTTATATTCACTTTAGATGAATACGTATTAAATTTTAATATACAAATATCAAAACACTTTGTTTACATCAAGTTTTTAAAGAAACTAATTTTATTTGTAACTAGGGCTTTTTCTTACTCAAACACATTATTATAATATGATACTTTTTACATGTTAAATTATATTATCTTTAATATTAGTATTTTTAACCACAATTCAGTATGAATAATGT